AGGCTATGATCCATCGATCGGAACAGATGGTAATCGGAAAAAACTATGTATGGGCTATACATCGGGTGTGGTAGAAATTATTATCGAGGGTTTTCCAAGTACCTTTTAACGACCCGACCGACATGTGATCAAAAAAACAACGTTCAAGACGTCGCACAATGTGGGAATTATACAATTTAGCTCTACAAAAGTACATCATTCCACTTTCACCAATTTATTTCCAATTTTTTTTTAATAATTCATTAAATGTATATAATTATTATGCAAATTATTTTTTTTGTCGTTGCACTAGATATGAAATATAAAATCAAAAGAAGTTACTAAGTAAAATCTGTTTACAACAGAGAAATTTCATTTTATTCAAGTACCGATATTCTGTTCAAAATTAAATAGTTTTTTTGTTTCTTTTGTTCATAATTTCATTTAGGTATGATAAACAAAATAAGAGTTTTATTTGAGCGGTACTTTAAGCACAATCCTTATTTAAGCAACACATTTTTTTGTTTGTTTTTTTTTTTTTTCAATTGACTTGTGTGTTTAAGGGGTTACGCCACCTTGGAAGCCAGGCATCGATGACCAAATTACATTTTTTTTTTGCAATCATTTGACAACGTTTTAATGTTCATACATTGAACTTCCTTAGTTATTTTTTTCAGGACCTTCCATCGATAAATATAGTTGAGATGGTATTGCGAATATTGCCTCCATTCGACTGCAAAAATCAAGTTTTTGTATTTAAAAAAAAGGTACTGGCTATGATCTATCGTAGGGTATTGCTATTATATGGGCTTGTTACAAAATTACAATTATATGAAAGAAAAATCGTTATTTTACCAATGTTTTTTATTAAAATAATTATTATAAAAAACAGAAAAGTTTGTATTGGAAAAATCCTACGATAGATCCAAGGGGGTCGTATTGTGAGTATTTGCATATAAGAATCTTAGGAATCGGTTGAAATGTGTAGGAGATTTGTGGTGTACGTTTCTAAAACTCGTGTTTTAAGAAAAACGCGTTTACTGCTTTTTACCATTAATCCGCAATTCCGGGCACATAAACCTGATATTATATCCCAAGATGGAATACCCTTTAAAGGAGAAATAATTTATATTCTTAAAATAAAGAATTCCGGGCCCATAAACCTGATATTCAAAGGTGGAATACCCTTTAAAGGAGAAAAATTGTATATTGAGTTTGAGCTCGAAACTTTTACATTCCGTTGAAATATAGTGCGAATTTTTGCAGCACCGATACCTTTTTTTCGCAATGTCTTCCGAATAATAGAAAAAAGTTTTTATGATATTATACAAATACGAAAACAAAATGGAATCAATTTTATTGTTATGGAGAACGCTTTAAAAAAATATTAAATCTGGTTGAATGGTTATTTGAATTTACCATACACGGTATTGCAAAAAATATCTTCTTCATCTCATATGCTGAAATCGCTCCAAAACAAGAAAGGTACAAAATCTTATTGATTCTACCAGCACCGAAGAAATTGCAGTTGCAAACCAAGTTAGCATATTTAAGGAAGGTAAACGCAACTCTGCTGGAATTGTTAAGGAATTTCCAAGATATAAATTTTACTGAATTATTTTTACCTACTGATAAAGCGATGTATGAATCAAGATGCTTATTTATATATATATATTTATAATATGACACAATAACTCAAAGGATTAATAAAATCATTAAAAATCGTTTACCTTCCTATGATAAACCAAAAGAGAACGCTTTCGTCGAGTGTCCGACCATTAGATACCCGTTACTCAGCTTCAATCTCCAAAATAAGTATTTTCCCTGCAAAACAATCGATGTTTAGGTGGCGCCATCTGTCGAAATGCATAGCCAACACTTGAAGCTAAGAGCGTGCAGCACAACTACTACAACGCTAACAGTTCTGTCATTCTCTCTCTCTTTCTCATCTGCTAGCAGACGTAGAACAGAGGGGCGGTATAACTTCTAAAATAATAGCTCGATTTTACAAAAAATGTTGTGTCTACCGATAGATATGACCGAAACGCACACACAGAACCAACCCTTACGTTCTAACATGTCTCAGAGGGACAGTTCATACTTTCCCGATTTGTGGGCGTAAAAGTGGACGTAACTCCATATTGAAATAAACCTGCTTAGTAACTACTAGAATCTGCTTTCCAAGTCCCAAATCTCTAGCTTTTATAGTTTCCGAGATCTCCACGTTCAAACAGACGGACATGGCTAGTTTGACTCGGCTATTGACCCTGAGCAAGAATGTATATACTTTATATGGTCGGAAACGCTTCCTTCTACCAGTTACATACTTTTCAACGAATACAATAATGGATACCTGAGTTTGACTTCTCTCACCCTCTAAGTAGCAAGTTGTTGGCTAGTTTTAACCGCTTCTTTGAGCCAGGTGATCTATGAGCTTGCCACTCTCTCCTGCGGAGCAGATCTTTAATAAATCTAGAAGCACTACTGCTGTTGAAAGGTTTTCTAGGTGGTATTATTGAAGTAATATCATAATAAACACTAATGCTTCTACTGAGCTGTCGATGTCTTCAGCCAATCTGTTTTACTAGAAGTTAGAAAGTGTGGGCGTTCTGAAAGCTTTGGTCATAAAGGTGAAGTAAGATTGTAGAGTGATCCGATGATAGATCGGACTCTCAGCCTTATTTTTAAGATCTGTTGGCCAGTATGTAGGCTTGCCCGGAGAGATAAAGTCAAACTTGTTTCGTGGTGTTATTATAGCGTTGTACAGTTGTCTTCCTTTGGGGTTGGTGAGTCGTGAATCCCAGCAGCTATAAAGCGGTCACCCAGCAAAATATTTTACAAATTCTGCTTCGGAAACGGAAACAATATACGGCGGCTATGTTTAAGTGTCTTTGTGAATTGATGTTGCTTGTATTTAAGTTGTTGCAAATGATAGCAGTTGGTAATGTCTAATGCGATTCTTGATCAGAATGCCAGTACCTTCATGTCCTTTACCAACGGGATAATTTGTCGCACACAATGTATATCCATTAAAATGAAAATAATTTTTGTTCGTTGAGTCTCTGATATAAGCATTCCGTCAATGTCATATTGGTCTAAGAGCTAGTTTTAGTGCTGCGAAATGCCATTTGCATTTCAGAAAGATAATATTAGTAAAATCATCTTAACTGATTTTTTTTAATTAAGAGCTCAAAAAGGAGATTTTGTGTACGCATAAGATCCTATAGCGTTTTTTGCATTGCTACCATTATGTTTGTTATAGTTACCAACATTGGTTCTAGCCCATTCGTCAATTTAATAATTTCAGGACCCTGTTTCGATGTCTGTTGCTGCGTTATTCCTGCAGTGGCTTGGGAAGGTGTCGGCCTAGCCCCTGAGGCATATGACCCGTTCTTATAGCTTAGCGCCTGAGCGAAATAAACTCCCGGTTGATGGTATTACTGTATGTTTTGTCGGCTGACTGGTTTTCGAGCTACAGGTTTTTTTTTGGGTTACCGGGTTTTTTACAGGGCAACCTCTGTAGTTGGCAGTGTGATTTCCCCCACAGTTGCTAAATTTTTTGGCAGAATGGTCCACCTTATTTACAGAGCATGACTTAGTTGGATGTGCATCACCACAGGCTACGCAGACGGCGGGCAGGGTCCACTTAGTTCTCGTTTGCTTATATTCCTGACAATTTCTCAATGGTGATTCTGCGGTGCAGTAGGTATTGAAGTTTATCAATTGGTTGAACTTCATTATTTTTAAGTGCATATTTTCAGGTTGCAATTTGGGGAATTTTATTTATATTTTTTTATATTCATGGCCATTTTGACGTCAAAGCCCTTTTAGGTGCCGCTTTTATCTCATCAATCGGAACTGTCGATTCGATTCCTTTAATTACCACTTGCAGTCCTTTGCTACTTTTCAGTTGGTAGGTGTAGTAATTTTTTTAGGTTTTATTTATATTGCCCCTTTTAATGGATGTGAGGTAAAATTTGATTACGCCATTTTTTTGCTGATAACTAATCCCCGTCATTTTTTAAACTTTGTTTTTAGAGCTTGCGTTCTTATACGTCACCTCTTTTTTTTACTATATCCTTTAAATAGTTTTTTATTGAAAAATTTGAAAATTATCATGGGCACGAGCACACATACTCATGCCTACCCTAAGGGTCCTTTCGCGAATTAAATTTCGGATATTTTCACTATATTTTTAATCGCACGGCGGACCGAAACACAATACGTCCGTTGTTTTTTTGGTAATTAATTTGTAATTAAAAGTACAACATCTCATAGATGTCCTGTGAAAATTTCGTGACGATCGGACTAAAACTCTCTGAGATACTGATTATCTCTTAATCGTACTCAAGGAAGGTATGTGGTATGTAAAATCTTTAGATGCGTTTTTCTCAAAACTAAATAGGAGTGTAACGTAACTCAAGAGGTAATGGTCCGATCTAAATGAAATTTTGCACACATCTTTAATACATTAAATACTTGCGGATGAAGAAGTTTTTTTTTTAATATTTTGTTATATTTTTACAGACAATTAAAACAGCTGGAAAATTAAAAGTCGCATATTTTTCGTTCATCCGGAAAATAAACTTACATATTAAAAAAATCAATTTTTTTAAATATCACTGTGAGTCCAGGCTTTGCGCACCGTAAGCCGCTCCTTTTTATACCTTTGTAGAGGGTATTATAATTTCAGTCAGAAGTTTGCAACGCAGTAAAAGATAAATTTCCGACCTTATAAAGTATTTATATTCTTGTCTGTCCTTCTGTCCGTCGAACTGTCCGTCCGTTTCCACACAAACTAATCCCTCAGTTTTAAAGCTACCTTCAAGAAACAAGTTTTCAAAAGTTGTCTTTTCATAGCTGGTAGTACGAGCGCTCCGGCTCGTTCTTTGTTGTCCAATTGGAAACTTCCTCTTTTGAACCGGTCAAACCACTTTTAACACGTTTGCATTTGTACCATAAACTTCAGCTTAAATACGGAGTTTTTTGGCAGCCTTTTTCTTCGTACTGCAGTAGCGAAGTAAAAACAAAGCAAAGCAGACATTTTTGAAGCGCAATAAAAAGTAGCGACACCTGTAAATGAAACCGAACGAACTTATTTGTACACCCAATTCTAATATTAATATTGTGAAATCGCAAATCCCTGAATTGAATAGTTTCCAGCATTTTTAGTTTTTCAGATCACGTGCATACTGACGGACATATCTAAATCGACAATTTAATGTCACGGCAAGCAATAAATTTGCGGCGATATTATTAAGCTGGGTACACTTTATATGTATATAAATCTTTGGATATTTACCACAAAAAATCCAACATTTTTGATATAAACTGTGCTCTTAAAATCAAAAGAATCCGCATTTTTAATCTTTTGACTAATTTACGGACTAACAGACAAACGAACTTGTATACTCTATAAGTTACGGGTATGCGATGATCCAATTTGGTTTCGATTTATCAATGAAATAAATTTCCAAGTCTAATTTCAAAAAAATGTTGGTTTCGATTTATCAATGAAATAAATTTCCAAGTCTAATTTCAAAAAAATGTTATGGTCAACTGGATCCCAATCATATTATGACATCTAAATAATATCACTGAAATCTTATAAAATTACCATATTTCTAGTCATATGCAATTATAACGAAACTATTCTAAAATGTACAATTTAAGGATGGATTCGTGTAAACGGATCGTCTTTAAAACTTGATGTGTGTAAAGATATAAAAAGTTTTGAAAGTACAAATTTTAGAAACATTTTTTTTTAAAACTATATGTGTAGATTACCTGTAAAATATTGAGCCTATATTATATTACGTTTATTTTGCCATCGGATCCATTTAGCACAGAAAAAATATGGGACAGTAAATCTTTAACGATAACCCAATCAGAACATTTAGTGGATATTAGCTTTAAAAATTCTAGTGACTCTCTTCGTACGATGTCCCCTTTGCTGTACAAATTTTTTATAAGAACTTTTCCAATTTTTTGAGCATAGCGACTACAATCAAAATTCAACATTTTAAAAGTTAGCCCAATACTTTCAAGTGTATTTTCCGGGCTTGGTAATATTGCCCTCTGTAAAGCTGGGTATACATAGGAATCAAATTCTTTTTCGGTGAGTGACTCCAGTAATGGACGGCAGGCTGCTATGAACGACTTGTCAGGTTTGTATTTGCATGAGACCATACTCTTTACAAAGCATTTCGATATTTTTTCCGTATATTTTTGTAGTATAAATGTCTTATTGCTTTTAGATTCAAATTGAATCATGACCATGATCATAATAGTAACGTTGCTAGTTGCTTCAATTTGAAATATGATGTCCAAAGTTTCATAAAAAATTGAAGTGTTATCCCATAACTCATACGAAATTAATGAGCCTATTCTGTTGATTCTAGACGACTTGATGATGGGTGCCTTTAACAAAAATGTTTGTGAACTGTTTACGAAAGGATCACATCACCGGAATTTATCAGTTGTTACTCAAAATATATTTCATAAATCATCGCAAACCCGTGAAATTTCACTAAATACCAAATTTATAATAGCTTTTAAAAATCCCCGAGATAAGCTTCAATTTAAATGTTTGGCAAGACAAATTTATCCAGAAAACCCAACAGATTTATTTAGAATATATAAAGAAGTAACAGAGCAACCCCACGGATATTTACTTATTGATCTCACTCAGGGAATTAACGATCTCTTACGATTTAGATCAGACATTTTTAATTCTGAGTATACGGTGTGCTATTCCGAAGAAAATGGTTTACAAAAAGAATCTAAATCCCTTGAAAGCGAACAAACATATATTGTATGTGCTCAAAAAGGCTAGCAATAAACTACGAAAAGCAATAATAAACAAAAGCGATAGTGAACTGGTAAAAACAATAGTGGAAATAGTTTTGAACACACTACGAGGAAATCATAAGGTTACTAAAACGCATCTAAATTCACTAAAAAAGTATAAAAGTGCATTGCGCTACCTTTCATGTCCAAAGCGCACATTAAACTCTAAGAAAAGTTCTATTCTAAGAACTGAAGAAGTCTCATACAATCCTATTGCATCATTGGACGGCGCCTCCTCAATTGAATTTGTTTGCTTGGGAAATGGTGAAACATATCGATACTTATCAAGTGTTTATTTACGGCTTGTGGTGCAACTCAAAAAAAAATGATAATAACGTCATTGAAGGAAACGCTGTCGGTGTAGTAAAAAATATTTTACATTCAATATTTAGAAGTTCCTCAGTTTATTTAAATAGCATATTAGTATCGCAGAGTGATAATAATTATCATTATAGAGCTTATTTGCAAACAATTTTAAACTATGGGAGTGATGCATCAGAAAGCCACTTGGCTTCCCAAGGCTATTTCCCGAATTTTGGAAGATTAACAGCAGGAAAATACGTTTATCCAGCCAATAATGAAACTCTGAAAAATATTTTCCAAAATAGTAATAAGGTCGAATTATTCGGAAAAGTTCATGGTGATATTTTTAACCAAAGCAAACTGCTTCTTAATAATGTAGATCTAAGAATTAATTTTAACATTGAAAAAACAGCATTTTATTTAATGGAAAATGAAACTGAATCAAATTTAAAGATACTAGAAGCACAACTCTTTATGAATCATATAACAGTTAACCCAAGCATTTTATTGGCTCATCATCATGTTTTACAAACAAACAAGAAAGAAAGCAAACTTCGGCAAGCCGAAGTTCATATACCCTTGCAGCTATTGCAAGAATTTAACATTTTTGAAAACATTAAAATTATGATTTACTGCGTATATGTTTAAAAACATTGAAGCTATGATGATTAGCAACTCAATTATTTGATAGTTATTTTATATATTTTTATTATTTCTATGGGAGCTATATGATATAGACGTCCGATTTTGATAAAATCTAAACCATAATTCTGAAATATTTAACCATTGCTATATGTCGAAGAACTGAACAAAAAATTAAAAAACAAAAAAGTTATAATTTTTTTCATTTATTTTTCCGATTGTTCCTATGGAAGCTATATGCTATAGTCGTCCGATTTTGATATAATTTAAACCGTAAATCGGAAATATTTTACCATTACTAAACGTCGAAGAACTAAACAAAAAATTAAAAAACAGCAAAGTTATAATTTTTTTTCATTTATTTTTCCAATTGTTCCTATGGGAGCTATATGCTATAGTCGTCCGATTATGATGAAATTTAAACCGTAAATCAGAAATATTTAACCATTACTAAACGTCGAAGAACTAAACAAAAAATTAAAAAACAGCAAAGTTATAATTTTTTTTCATTTATTTTTCCGATTGTTCCTATGGGAGCTATATGCTATAGTCGTCCGATCCGGCTCGTTCCGACTTATATACTACCTGCAATAGAAAGACAACTTTTGGGAAAGTTTCATGCAGATAGCTTTAAAACTGAGAGACTAGTTTGCATATAAACGGACGGACAGACGGACAGACGGACAGACTGACAGACGGACAGACGGACGGACAGACGGACAGACGGACGGACAGACGGACATGGCTAGATCGACTCTACTAGTGATGCTGATCAAGAATATATATACTTTATAGGGTCGGAGATGTCTCCTTCACTGCGTTGCAAACTTCTGACTGAAATTATAATACCCTCTGCAAGGGTATAAAAATGCTTTATACCCATTCAGTAAAGTTGAAGTCAAATCTTTTACAATATATCCAGGCAACAATACACTATCGATAGATAACGCAGTTATTGGGCAACTACCCAATTTCTTGGATTTTAGTATGGTTAAAAACCGCTCATACTCAGGAAACCGAGGCTTAGATCCATTTCATTTTGAACATTTTAAAATGCAACGCTTTAACCTAATGGTTAACGGAGTTCAAGTTCCCTCCCAGACCTTAGAAATTGATTACTTGAACGCTGAAAATGTTCAAAGCTCTAGAAGTTAAAATATGCTATTCAGATCGACTGGAATAAAGCATTATGATCGTGGTCTACAAATAACCAAGGAAATGTTTGATACTAACAGTTTCATATTAGCCTTTGACCTAACTACTGATCATTCAAATTCCACTGTATGCTCAAATTTGATGTCACAGGCACTATACGAATCGAAGGAAGATTTTCAGAACCCCTAAGTGAAGCAGTTACTTGTCTGGTATACTGTGAATATGATTCCATGATTGATATTGATAAACATAGAAATATTCGAACGCTTTTTTAAAATGAATACTTTACAAATTCAACAATTGCTTCCCAAACATGCCAAAACACAATCAATTTTTAAAGGAGTTTTTCCTTCGGACCAGCTACCCAAAACCATTTTTAAACATCCTGCTCTAATTGTTGCGAACACCGACACTTCAGATCAGCCCGGAACTCATTGGATTGCAATTTATTTTAATAGTCGCAGATCAGCAGAATTTTTCGATTCATATGGACAATATCCCCAGAAAACAGAATTCATAACATTTTTAAGATCAAACGCTTATAAATACTTTTGTAATAAGCAACAACTACAGGGATATTTTTCTAATACCTGCGGTCACTATTGCATGCTGTAGGGCCTTTTTATACCCTTGCAGAGGGTATTATAATTTCAGTCAGAAGTTTGCAACGCAGTGAAGGAGACATCTCCGACCCTATAAAGTATATATATTCTTGATCAGCATCACTAGTAGAGTCGATCTAGCCATGTCCGTCTGTCCGTCCGTCTGTCCGTCTGTCCGTCCGTCTGTCCGTCTGTCAGTCTGTCCGTCCGTTTATATGCAAACTAGTCTCTCAGTTTTAAAGCTATCTGCATGAAACTTTCCCAAAAGTTGTCTTTCTATTGCAGGTAGTATATAAGTCGGAACGAGCCGGATCGGACGACTATAGCATATAGCTCCCATAGGAACAATCGGAAAAATAAATGAAAAAAAATTATAACTTTGCTGTTTTTTAATTTTTTGTTTAGTTCTTCGACGTTTAGTAATGGTTAAATATTTCTGATTTACGGTTTAAATTTCATCATAATCGGACGACTATAGCATATAGCTCCCATAGGAACAATCGGAAAAATAAATGAAAAAAATTATAACTTTGCTGTTTTTTAATTTTTTGTTTAGTTCTTCGACGTTTAGTAATGGTAAAATATTTCCGATTTACGGTTTAAATTATATCAAAATCGGACGACTATAGCATATAGCTCCCATAGGAACAATCGGAAAAATAAATGAAAAAAATTATAACTTTTTTTGTTTTTTAATTTTTTGTTCAGTTCTTCGACATATAGCAATGGTTAAATATTTCAGAATTATGGTTTAGATTTTATCAAAATCGGACGTCTATATCATATAGCTCCCATAGAAATAATAAAAATATATAAAATAACTATCAAATAATTGAGTTGCTAATCATCATAGCTTCAATGTTTTTAAACATATACGCAGTAAATCATAATTTTAATGTTTTCAAAAATGTTAAATTCTTGCAATAGCTGCAAGGGTATATGAACTTCGGCTTGCCGAAGTTTGCTTTCTTTCTTGTTAAAAGTAAAAACAAATCACTTAAAACTTTCTTAAAATATTTCAAGAAAAATGACTTCTCATACAATAACAAAATAATACTTAAAATGTTTAAGTCCAATTTTAAGAAATAAAGTTCGAGTTTTTAAAAGATAAATAATTTATTTTATTAAATGTTTCAGTTCGATACAATCGTCGGCTTAACTTATAATATCTAAGCATAAGACTAAGGGCTTCTTTTTCTAATACAGGCAGCATATGACACTGGCATGTGTCAGGGCCAGACGTGGCATCATCATCGCTCCAGGGACAAAGTTTGTAATGGAATCCAAATTTAGAATGAATTAGCTCCTTTTTCTCCAAATCCTCCATAGTAGCCTTTAGGAATTTAAGCCTCTCCAAGTGTTGTTCGAAAAGCATGTCTTCAAATTGCATCAAGAAGACTTCAATTTGTTGAGCGTACATTTTAAGGGAGAAGTGGTCGTTTCTTACGATTGCTTTAAGACTGATGTTGGATTTAGAAACCCAGGGCTTTATATTGGAAAAATGCATTTATTTCTCTTTCTTATTTATTGACAAAAATTCTATTTGCGCACAACTATATCTATTTACATCTTTTCCTTTATATATTAATTATTTCCTTTATATATTAATTATTTTCCTCTGTTTTTGGGGTAGTAGAGGGGACTTACGGAAGCAGCGAATCCGGCTTATCCTAGACAAGCACCACGGGTTTAGGGTGTCTTAGCTAACCGCCGCACCCGACGACCGCCGCTCCCAACCGCCGGTTAAGTAAGTCCCCTCTTCTACCCCAAAAACAGAGGAAAACCGAAAAAATATATGCACCCCCCACCAAAGAAAAAAAAAAAAAAAGTTTGATATCATTCGAAAGCATTTTTCAAGACCTTTCCAATGGTATACTTGTCACGATTCTTAATTAACAAGAAAGAAAGCAAACTTCGGCAAGCCGAAGTTCATATACCCTTGCAGCTATTGCAAGAATTTAACATTTTTGAAAACATTAAAATTATGATTTACTGCGTATATGTTTAAAAACATTGAAGCTATGATGATTAGCAACTCAATTATTTGATAGTTATTTTATATATTTTTATTATTTCTATGGGAGCTATATGATATAGACGTCCGATTTTGATAAAATCTAAACCATAATTCTGAAATATTTAACCATTGCTATATGTCGAAGAACTGAACAAAAAATTAAAAAACAAAAAAGTTATAATTTTTTTCATTTATTTTTCCGATTGTTCCTATGGGAGCTATATGCTATAGTCGTCCGATTTTGATATAATTTAAACCGTAAATCGGAAATATTTTACCATTACTAAACGTCGAAGAACTAAACAAAAAATTAAAAAACAGCAAAGTTATAATTTTTTTCATTTATTTTTCCAATTGTTCCTATGGGAGCTATATGCTATAGTCGTCCGATTATGATGAAATTTAAACCGTAAATCAGAAATATTTAACCATTACTAAACGTCGAAGAACTAAACAAAAAATTAAAAAACAGCAAAGTTATAATTTTTTTTCATTTATTTTTCCGATTGTTCCTATGGGAGCTATATGCTATAGTCGTCCGATCCGGCTCGTTCCGACTTATATACTACCTGCAATAGAAAGACAACTTTTGGGAAAGTTTCATGCAGATAGCTTTAAAACTGAGAGACTAGTTTGCATATAAACGGACGGACAGACGGACAGACGGACAGACTGACAGACGGACAGACGGACGGACAGACGGACAGACGGACGGACAGACGGACATGGCTAGATCGACTCTACTAGTGATGCTGATCAAGAATATATATACTTTATAGGGTCGGAGATGTCTCCTTCACTGCGTTGCAAACTTCTGACTGAAATTATAATACCCTCTGCAAGGGTATAAAAATTACTCGTTTTGATCAAAACTATCAAAATTATAATTTCACACCTTCGCGCACAAGCAGTCGTGAGGACGCACAAGTGGGTGGGGGTTGAGATTAGAGCTCGTGGGTATGCGGGTTCACTTTCTCGTACCCATTCTTACTTTCACACCTTCGCGCACAAGCAGTCATCAGGACGCACAAGAGGGTTGGGGTTGATATTAGGGTTCGTGGGTATGCGTTTTCACTTGCTCGTACATTTTCTCAAACGAAAAGGATCGGTCCGAACATTTGGCGAGAATATTTAGAAACCAAATAAAACGAGTGAGTTCCATCGGATATCATGTACACTGATTATGAAATTTGTATGTGAATGCATTTGGAAAAAATTCAACTGATTATAAAACCGTTAAAAACCCGCTCCTGTATATTCCAGCTACTGATGCGTTTTGCGTACAGAGCTTGGCCGAACTAGTTTAAATGGAGATTTGCACCCCTATGAATTAGCTGCTCTGGAAGCTGCTAGTTCGTACCTTTAAAAATAAATTCATTTCGCGCATTTATAATAAAATCCATTTTCTTTTTAGCTATATTACATTTATTTAGGCTTTTATGTTTATCATTATGGCAAAGGCATGGTCAGCTAATATTCCAATTAAATAATTTAAACCCAAATCGATCAAATTGCCATGCACTGTTGAGGATTTTCGGAAAGAAAAGAGCTGTAGAGAAAAAGGTAAGTTCAAAGTTTGTATGTAAAAATTCATCAAGTAGTGCACTACTTATTTGTAGGAAATGGATACCAAAGAAATGCTGATTAACTGCTAATTGGGTGTATAAGTTAAAACGGTTTCCCAGCAAAGTTCCCAAGCTGATCATGCATAATTGAATAAAATAATGCAAGGTTAAGGCAGTTGGTTTCATTTTGGAAATGAAATGAATTACAATAAATCCTTAAACAGGACATATAATTAATTGGCACCCAACGCGTTGTAAGACCCTCGACCCGTGTTAAATAAAAAAAAAAAAAACCCGTCGCCGTAAGACCCTCGACCCGTGTTAAATAAAAAAAAACAACTCGTTGTAAGACCCTCGACCTGTATACAAAAAAACTCAATCGTAAGACCCTCGATTCGACGTTTAAATAAAAACATTGAATAAAAAAAATTAAAAACGCGTTTCGTTTTAGAAAAAAACAACAAAGCAACCTTAACTCAACAAAACCAGGCAGCAACAACAAATCAACCAAATAAAAATAAACCAGGAACGACGACAAGGGCGAAACTAAATTAAAAGAAGGAAGACACCGACAGCGGCAACAACATTTAGTTGTATAATTAAATAAAAACCATGTAAGTAGAGTGTTCGTTGATATTCCCACTATTTTCAAATTGCAAAATATTTTAAAAAATATTTAAAAAGTGAATTTTCAAGAGTCTCAGTCAAAAAAAAGGCACAAGTTCGGAAATTTTTTTTAGAAAAAAAAAATACAAAAGGAACAAAATTCTTTGTTCTATGTGTTAAAATCATATGAGAGATATATTAGAGATATAGAAGAATTCAAAAACTAAACACCGCGGAAAGTTTTCAACAAAATAGTTCAAACATGGCGTTGACCAATGAACAATTAAAATCCATTATAGAAGGCGCAGTTGCGAGCGCACTCGCCGCGCAGGAAAAGATGGGCAAAAATTACAAGATGTTCAGAAGCGATTAGGTGGTGTAAATATCGGCAATCCAGAACTAGAAACATATAGGGATGCCGAAATCATAATAGGTAACGTTAGATATTATGAAGTCCCTGCTGGACTTTAAGGGAAAGAATGAGACATACGTATCTTGGAGGAAAGCTACCTCTCTGAACGAAAAATACAGATCAAGAAAATCGCTCAGCGACGTTCTTTTTTCGGCAAAACCAACCGATCTTCCTTCCGCTTTTACATTAGCCCATTAATTTTACAAAAGTTGATGAAAAAAGTTTGTTTTACTTTTTTAAAAACCAGCTTATTTAGCGGGAAATCGCTAAAAAAAAAAAATAGCGGAGCTTTGCACGGCTATAACTATTCTAAGCTAGTAAAGCTGCAGACAAGTGATATATGTCATTAAAAAGGAACTGTCAAATGCTAATCATGCTGCCTTAACATAATTTTTACGTATACAGTCCCATTTGTTCTTCATGACTAGAATCTGGAGTTGTATCAAAAGAAATGCTGTAGTATACCGCATCTTTAAGCATTTATGATGGATTTTCTAACTTTGTTGCCTAGCAGCGCAATGATTTCGTTCTGAATGTTGTGGGAAAAATATCTTAGATGTCCCTTATTAGCAGAAACCGATTCCACGTGGGCTTTCATAACAGGATCAAATTTGCTCAGATATTTTATAAGAGCAAGGAAATTTCCTGGATTTTGATCTTCAGAAACGGATTCTCGGTGTCCACTGAGTGCCAAATTCTGCTGTGCGAGTTTTTGTATTGTGGCAATAATGCGCTCGAGAATATCCCTCCATACTTTTGTTTCATTTCGAATCTGCTATTGAAGACGATCGTCGAGAAGTCCTCCCTTCTTCAAAGAGCGTTCCATGTCCTTCCACTCTAGAAACGAGAAACGATGAGCTCTGCTACTTTCATGTTCTTCTATTCGAGGATTCAGTTTCTTCCATGATGAAAAACCAGTTTCATTGCTGAAACTACTCTGGTAGTTTTTGCAGGGGAACAACTTGCAGCATAGACAGAATAATGCATTTTTCGTAACAGAATAGCACATCCAGGTTCTTTCAGTTTTTTCGCCATTTTTATGTGTTCGTTGAAACCAAGCCTTATTCAATGATCTTCCAGAATCATCTTGATGAAATGGACCATTTTTATTCTGTAGAGATTCTGTTCCAGTATTGACAATCAAATCACGAAACGATTGTGAAATTTTCTCGGGCCAATAACCTATGTCTTTGTTTATAGATAGTTCGATATTCTCTGTTCCTGAATTTTCCTGTGATAAAACAGTCTCCTAGAAAAAATCAGTCACTCAAAAATATTGTTCACACTTTCATATTAATGTTATCTGGCTTTTAAAAATTAAAAGCATTTCATACCACGTTTTCTTCAACACTTATTACATGTTGTTTTTCACTATCAATTCCAACAGATGATTGTCCAGCGTTTTCTACCTCCAGAATCTCCTTTGATAAAGATTCCGCCTGAATTTTTATTCAATCAATTTGGTTCATTAAAAAAAAATTACAACATATTCCAAATATTGCACCACCTTTCATCATACCTCATTTTCAATATCGCTTGTACACTCGTCTATAAAATGCTGTGATGGATTTTCCAGGTTTGATTCAGAAACCGAAGGATTATTTGAGGTGTCTGAGATTTCCTTGTTATGACTTTTCACGTAATTTAACATAAATTCTTTCGACAAATTTTTGGTGTGTTGCTTTTTTGCACGGATTTTTTTGAACTGGGCACCACTTGGTTTTATTCGTTTCATTTTTGTGTTTTCCACGCCTAATTTGCAATAGTAGAGATATATTTTTAGAACATCAAGAAGTGGAAGGTTCAGTGAATAATATTTGATAAATAACATCGAAGCATAAGTACCTTGATTAAATGTTGCAATAGAAAAACACTGCCTTGATTGGAATGTATGTAAACAAACGCGCTCCCCTGTAGTTCTGAAATTCCCTTCCCTGCCATTTCCTGGCCGGCAAGTTCGAAAAACAAAAACAAATCACATGGGCTTCATCTAGCGAAGTTTAAAACAAAGCAGGCTGACAAAATTCTGCCGAAGTTCGAACTTTTTGTAGTTGTTTATTTCGAAGTAATTAGAAGCAGCGGCTAAAATAGGGAGAGGATTGGACGGCACAAGAAGAAAAGGAACTGTTTAGACTTTTAAATACCCTTTTTTAGAAGCGCTAGTATATTTATTAATTTTTAAGATGATAAATAAATGATTTTTATTGATTCAATGTAATAACATTTTGGAAGTTATTGTAAAGTTGCTATAGGCAACGCCAAAATGTTAATATTTGATTATCTGCCATATGAGATTTTAACTACAAGGCATTGTTATGGTCGCATATACCCTGGCACGCGTCAGGGAGAAATATCGGTTTCGTTTTTCGTTCTCCCCATTCCCTTTGCTCTTGAATTCGACTGCAACAGAGTGAGGAAGTGTTTTTTAAAGTGAAAACTTTAGGCAATTATTAATTAATCACTTACACTTGTATTCTATAGGGAGCGTTACATGCTCAGCGCCGCGGGAAAATATGAATTCTCGAAACTAGTCGGACTCGATTTAGCGCCTCTTAGATTTGGCGGACAGACGGACATGGCTAGATCGACTCGCCTAGTGATGCTGATCAAGAGTATATATACTTTATAGGGTCGGAGATGTCTCCTTCACTGCGTTGCAAACTTCAGACTGAATATATTATACCCTCTGCAAGGGTACAAAAACTAAAACTAAGTACGGTGCAGGGATAGTGGTTGAAATGCAAATTTGATTATATAGATTTTTATAATTATTACAAAGAACACGAAAAGGCTCATGCAGGCCAAAATTTAAGGTACATGTTGGCAAGTTAAGAATATGGTAGTTGCGGGTTGGTCCAAAAGGCACATTAAAAGTTAAGCGGCTTACCAATTCTATGGAGTCAATATCACCTTCCACATGATTGTGCACAAAAATAGGTCCAAGCATGATTCTACGATTTACAAGAGTAGGTAAATTAAGCAATAGTAATCTACTAGAGTAAGAATACAACCTTACTATTGCTGATCCCAGTTCAAACCACAACGGGCAAAAAGAAGAAATTTTTTTTGTACCGACTCAATACGATCAATGTGCACTTGATATTGGGTACTCCAAACTGGAGCGCAATATTATACAAGTTTTTGGTTTCAAGTGGTTTCAAATATTATTTAATTAATTAAATAATTTAAACCCAAATCGATCAAATTGCCATGCACTGTTGAGGATTTTCGGAAAGAAGAGAGCTGTAGAGAAAAGGTAAGTTCAATGTTTGTATGTAAAAATTCATCAAGTAGTGCAATACTTATTTGTAGGAATTGGATACCAAAGAAATGCTGATTAACTGCTAATTGGGTGTATAAGTTAAAACGGTTTCCCAGCAAAGTTCCCAAGCTGATCATGCATAATTGAATAAAATAATGCAAGGCTAAGGCAGTTAGTTTCATTTTGGAAATTAAATGAATTACAATAAATCCTTAAACAGGACATATAATTAATATAACCCAACGAGTTGTAAGACCCTCGACCCGTGTTAAATAAAAACATTGAATAAAAAAAATTAAAAACGCGTTCGATTCGTTTTAGAAAAAAACATCAAAGCAACCTTAACTCAACAAAACCAGGCAACAACAACAAATCAACCAAATAAAAATAAACCAGGAACGACGACAAGGGCGAAACTAAATTAAAAGAAGGAAGACACCGACAGCGGCAACAACATTTAGTTGTATAATTAAACAAAATCCATCTAAGTAGAGTGTTCGTTGATATTCCCACTATTTTCAAATTGCAAAATATTTTAAAAAATATTTAAAGTGATTTTTCAAGAGTCTCAGTCAAAAAAAAAGGCACAAGTTCGGAAATTTTTTTTTAGAAAAAAATAAATACAAAAGGAACAAAATTCTTTGTTCTTTGTGTTAAAATCATATGAGCGTTAGAGATATAGAATTCAAAAACTAAACACCGCGGAAACATGGCGTTGACCAATGAACAATTAAAGTCCATTATAGAAGCTTTGGGCAAAAATTACAAGATGTTCAGAAGCGATTAGGTGGTGTAAATATCGGCAATCCAGAACTAGAAACATATAGGGATGCCGAAATCATAATAGGTAACGTTAGATATTATGAAGTCCCTGCTGGACTTTAAGGGAAAGAATGAGACATACGTATCTTGGAGGAAAGCTACCTCTCTAAAAGAAAAATACAGAGCAGATGCGCTGCGAGTATTTATTTCGGGCACAAGAAAATCGCTCAGCGACGTTCTTTTTTCGGCAAAACCAACCGATCTTCCTTCCGCTTTAACATTAGCCCATTCGCAAGTAGTTTTGCACGTAGCACGGAGGAAAAACACCAAAGGTGTCAAACCTATGAAAGAAATAAACCATTCTCTATAAAATCAATCCATGGTCACAACATATTAAACAAAAAGTGAATAATGCACCTTTTTAATACAAATACAACATTTTTCTTGCTACCAAACCTAACAACGTTTGATGGAATAATTGGACTGGACCTACTAAAAAAACTGACGTCGTACTTGACCTAATAGAAAAAAAGTTAACTAATAGCAGTCGAAGGAAATTAAATTTTAGAAGTGTGCAGATGTTAATTTTACAAAAGTTGATGAAAAAGTTTGTTTTACTTTGTTAAAAACCAGGTTATTTAGAGAGAAATCGCTAAAAAAACAAAATAGCGGAACTTTGCACGGCTATAACTATTCTAAGCTAGTAAAGCTGCAGACAAGTGATATATGTCTTTAAAAAGGAACTGTCAAATGCTAATCATGCTGCCTTAACATAATTTTTACGTATACAGCCCTAGAGATTCATAAACTTTTGCTATATATATTGTTGAACGTTGTTAGCATAGTGGGCGTTGTCAAGTTCGCGAGGAAAACACAAATATAATAATATAGACATTTATAAAAAAAACAAGACAGGAAGCAAACTTCGGCAAGCTGAAGCTTGCAGCTATTGAAAATATTAAATATTCTTGAAAACATTAAAATTATGATTTACTTATATTTAACCATTACTAAATGTCGAAGAACTTAAGAAAAACTTAAAAGAAAGCAAAGTTATAATTTTTTTTCATTGATTTTACCGATTGTTCCTATGGAAGCTATAAGCTATAGTCGTCCGATTTTGATGAAATTTAAACCGTAATTCTGAAATATTTAACCATTACTAAATGTCGAAGAACTAAACAAAAAATTGAAAAACAGCAAAGTTATAATTTTTTCATTTATTTTTTTTATTGTTCCTGTGGGAGCTATTTGCTATAGTCGTCCGATTTTGATTTTTTTTAATTAATTATTTTTTTTAATTAAATACACATTATTATACAACACTTAATATTCTCAACATATTGTTGATTCAAAAAAAAAAAATATTGAAACGCTTTTGAACTCACGCTCTCTCTCTCTCTCTCTCTCTCTTAAAAGTTCCTTAAACTGCTCGCTTACAAATACAAATTTAATAAAATATGAATAACAATTTTCTGTGTTTCTGCAAGAAATGCAGTCTGATGGTCAGAGCTGAACAGTTATGATAAACATGACATGTAGGTACCAAAAGCAACCACTTTTTGATTGCTTTTGGACAAATACTTTTGATTTCATGCTCAAAAGTTTTAAAGGCGAAAAAAAAATGTGTGATAATTTTTTTGCGGCGACATCTATATGTTTTTTATACCCTTGCAGAGGGCATTATAATTTCAGTCAGAAGTTTGCAACGCAGTGAAGGAGACATCTCCGACCCTATAAAGTATATATATTCTTGATCAGCATCACTAGGCGAGTCGATCTAGCCATGTCCGTCTGTCCGTCCGTCCGTCTGTCCGTCCGTCTGTCCGTCCGTCTGTCCGTCCGTTTATATGCAAACTAGTCTCTCAGTTTTAAAGCTATGTGCATGAAACTTTCCCAAAAGTTGTCTTTCTATTGCAGGTAGTATATAAGTCGGAACGAGCCGGATCGGACGACTATAGCATATAGCTCCCATAGGAACAATCGGAAAAATAAATGAAAAAAAATTATAACTTTGCTGTTTTTTAATTTTTTGTTTAGTTCTTCGACGTTTAGTAATGGTTAAATATTTCCGATTTACGGTTTAAATTTCATCAAAATCGGACGACTATAGCATATAGCCCCCATAGGAACAATCGGAAAAATAATTGAAAAAAAAATTATAATTTTTCTGTTTTTTAATTTTTTTTTTAGTTCTTCGACATTTAGTAATGGTTAAATATTTTCGATTTACGGTTTAAATTTCATCAAAGTCGGACGACTATATCATATAGCTCCCATAGGAACAATCGGAGAAATAAATGAAAAAAAATTATAACTTTTCTGTTTTTTAATTTTTTGTTTAGTTCTTCGACATTTAGTAATGGTTAAATATTTCCAATTTACGGTTTAAGTTTCATCAAAGTCGGACGACTATATCATATAGCTCCCATAGGAACAATTAAAATATATAAAATAACTATCAAATAATTGAGCTGCAAATCATCATAGCTTCAATTTTTTTAAACTTATACGCAAGTAAATTATAATTTTAATGTTATCAAAAATGTTTAATTCTTGCAATAGGTGCAAGGGTATATGAACTTCGGCTTGCCGAAGTTTGCTCTTTCTTGTTTTTAAATTAAATACACATTATTATACAACTTTTAAAAAATCGAAGAACAAATTTTTAAAGAAAAACAATGAAAAATAAGCCGGTGAACTGAAAAAAAGTTTGTTTGCGGTGAAGATCAA